TGTTGAGATAATCACCTAGTTTACCAGTTGTCTTTTATTTCCCTGGGTCATCATTGTGGTAATTCTTGTTTGTTCTTTTTTCCCTTTATTTCCTGTCTAGAACGGTGGAGAGGAAATAGTCTGTTCCTATTTAACATGTGTTGGATTCATTCCTTTCTCTTCATTTCCTCTGGGGCTGCTCCAGTACCAATCCTTACAGCTTTATCTGGCACGATTTTATCTAGCTTTGGTTAGAGTTCAGCAGTGGTGCCTCAAAGAGTCACCTCAGAGGATAATAGAGAGGCCAAGTGGACATGAGCAGGTCTTGACTCCCACAGTAGCTTCAAACACATCAGCTCAATCTGCAACTGTTGTACATATTGGGTTCTGTGACCAGTTTTATTTAGAGAGAAAATTATGTTGTTAAAGGAAAAATAAGTCTGAAAATCAGTATTCAAAGTTCTTTTGCACATCACTGCCATAGTAGCTTTTAGAAACACTTCTTGTTTCAAACTTTTCCATTAAAGGTCTTTATCAGTTACTACCAGTGTGTCTGACACTCAAATCCTTTCACATACTGGGAAAACACTATGGGGATAACCACATTTCCTACCATTATTCAACATTTGTGTTCTCACCATTCTAGTTGAGCCTCCTCAGCTTCCCAACGTTATTGGCTGGTATTGTTTTAGATCATTCCATATGTTCTCTTTTTGTAGCTTCCTTTCTTTGCTTTGCCCATTCAAGTTTCATTTCTGCTACACAGTTCAGCAGCTGAAATCTTAGCTTCTCCTTGAAACCTTCAAGTGTTTCAGTTCTGATCGATCCTGCCCCTCTCCCAGGTAATGCTGAATTTCGACTCAGTATCTCCAAAATAGGTAGCTAATTTCCTTGTCATGTTTCAAAGTTTTTTTTTTTTCTGAAGTCCACTTAAGGTTTACTGATGGTGGGGGTCTTGTGTTTTACAGCCTGTTCCATTACAGGTATGTGTGTATCACAAATAACACTTCAGCAATTGGTAAAGACAGAATGGTGCCAAATAGTGTGGAAGTCCAGATGATTCATGTGTGCCTTTTCTTAGCACTTACATACTGTAGTGCATAAGAGCAAACTTCCTCACAAGCAGCAATATGTGAAGACTAAGGAAAGGGTGAAGGATTCTGCACAAAAGTGCCTTGAGTGGCAAATTTTCAAAAACATTCAAACTATCCGGTGAATCTGTAATGACTTTTCAATGTGTGGTTCTATGGAGTTGCCTATTCTACAATTAGATTTTTAATTCTGATGAAAATGGCATCCAAATAAAAGTGCATGCTCGGGCCCGGCATGGTGGTGCAGTGGTTAAGGGCGCGGTGGTGCAAGTGGTTAAGGTTCTCGTCTTGCATGCCCGGGATCCCATATGGGCGCTGGTTCTAATCCCGGCAGCCCCGCTTTCCATCCAGCTCCCTGCTTGTGGCCTGGGAAAGCAGTCGAGGACAGGACCCTGCACCTGCGTGGGAGACCCGGAAGAGGCTCCTGGCTTCGGATCGGCATAGCATCGACCGTTGTGCTCACTTGGGGAGTGAAATATTGGATGGAAGATCTTCCTCTCTGTCTCTCCTCTCTGTATATCCGCCTTTCCAATAAAAATAAAATAAATCTTTAAAAAAAAAAAGTGCATGCTCTTGAGAACCCACATTAGGAAGGAAAAAGCATGACTGTGGGCAAGCATTGATGACTGCGGTTCTGGGTGTAAATACCACTGGAGACTTCACTGAGTGTTTTACACGAGGCTGCCTGCTGTTTTCATTGATGTTCTCATTACAAAGTTGTACTGCCTTTATTTAAGTGTTCTTCCCTAACTGTAATTTTCTCTTAAGCCCTTTTCCTTTAGGTGTGCAATTATATAGAATAAAAGACTCTTTTACTAGTAAGTCATCTGCCCTTATAGAATGTCTGACACTTTTTTTTTTTTAAATCTGCGCAACATCTAGTTTTGAGCTGGCCTTTGTGGTATATTTTTAGTAAATACATGTCTGTAGGCATCCTGCAATTCATAAATTTTCTTCTGCTGTGGTGCTATGTACCGAGCAGCTGAGCCAGTAGCATTGACAAGGCGAGGGTCAGGGAATCAGACACCGACAGGAGACCAGTAGTGGTGGAAGAGGTCTCTCCCGGCCTCCCTTTATTCAGCCATATATACCTTTTTCCCCAAGCCTCTAGCAGAACCATTGGATGCTAATGAGTCTGACAGACAAGGTGCCACTAGCCTCCAAGCCATTTCCTGCAGGAGCCAAGCTTAACAAATGCTAATCAACTCCTCAGCCCACAACAGTGCTAAAATTGGTTATTTCTCATTTTCTTTTTCTAATAAGTGTTTCCTCCCATTTATCTGTGAATGTTCCCAGTTGTTTAGACGGGCACATGTGTCAGCCAGAGAGGCAGCAAACCAGAGATACAAAAAATGATCATCAGAAACTTCCAGGTAGTCCTCAGGTCAATTTGAAAACTGAACTTACAAGTTTTTTTTATTGCTTTAAAATTCTGATTGAATGCTGCTCTCCTAAGAGGCTAGAAGAGAGAAGTTGCAAGGTTAGTAGGTCTAAAGCATGTTTTCGTCACTCTGCTGCTGGAGAACCCAACTCTTTCTTTCTTTGGCATCAGAGAACAGATGCTTCTAAATCCACCAGCCTATTGCCCAGGAAGGTAAAAACAAGGGAAAGGAGGTGTCGTGAGATAAGCCGTAGGACCGCAATCAGGAAAGCGCTTGGTTCGTGATTAGTGGACAAGGTGTCCTTGCTGGAACGTAGCGGCTCGCTTAGCTTCCAAGAGAGGCCAGTGACCGTGATGCCCGAAGAAGAAAGCGCTTTGATTTGTTTTTAACTACTGTTTACATTTACTGGAGCAGAATGTTGAAAAACAAACATCAAGCATTCCGACTGGGGCTGAAATATCTATAATGTAGTTACTTGTTAAGTCTTAGAAGGATCAGAGGTTTTTGTATTTTTCCGGAAAAAAAAAAAAAAGCTGATTAACCTTCATGTACTTCTGACTGGACATCAAATACTGATTAGCCTGGCCCGAGGATGGTGAATTTGGATAATATCAATCCATTTTGAGGTCTATGTATCATACCAAACAGAACCCATTCCTATTGCAATGTCCATCCTTCACTCTACACTTTGTAAACACCACTAATGACCTTACAAGGAGGAGCCTTCTCTTTCTAGTACTTTCTTGATCTTCTGAAATTCCATTCATTTCATCTCTCAGTTGCTCCATGAGCTGTTTCTATCTCTGTCAAAGAGTCTAAAAGACAGAACCTCTGCCAGCCTGATCCTTCGAAGTCACAGCCCAGTGCATGTCATATGATATGCTCTAAAGCACTCCAAAAATGTCTGCTGAGCATGTTTGAGCTTGGAGAGCCTGAAGCTATTGCCCACAGCTACTTCTGTCAAATAACCACTGCATGAAAGCATCGAATAAACAGGTCATGTCTTCTGCAGCATCCATCTAGGCCCAATATTTCTGGAAGGGAGACTTATATAAAGTGTGTATTTGTGTAGTGAGCCAAACCTAAAATATTCATCAAACTTGAAAGTCAAACAGGAACAAATTTACCTTGGGGCTTCTTCTCCACCATGGCAGGGAGCAGGTATTCCCCTTCTCTGTCTTCTTGGTGAGTTTACCTCCCAAGGAGAAAGCACACCTGCACGGTTCAGGAAAAGCTTGAGGGCGTCGAAAAAAAAAAAAACTGGGTTTAAAACAGCTCTCAGATATCTAACATTCTGTTCACTCTACTGTCCAACTGGAGCCACCTCATTAAATCTGTATAATGGGCAAATTTATTCTAATGTATTCTGATGAATTAAGTTCAGATTCAAAGCAGCATGGTAAAATTTAGGTTGAAGGGGAAGGGGGCATGTTGACACACCCACTATGGAAGTTTACACGGAAGCCAACTTCTCCAGCATCTGTGCTCTTGTTCTATGATGATGGCTCATTGCAGTCTTGCTTTGACCCTCTTAAGTTCTCACTGTGAACCTCTGATTTTTTTTTAAGGGTCCCATTTAAAAGAGGATAGAAGAAATTTTAGATAGTAGGCCTCTCCCTGAGGGTAAAATACTGGGTACACCTCACGGGTTAAACAGCCGTGTGTGTACCACCGTACAATAAAAACACCAAGAATTAGACTAGGGATTTGCATTTAAACAAAGCTTCCACACCCATTCTTTCATTCACCCCGCAACTGGATCCTCAACTCAAACTAGTTTGGGAAGCTGAAGATAGCACTCAACCCAACTGTTAGCAGTGGTTAGGTGTTTCGGTTAAAGAGCTTAACAACTCCCTAGGGATTAGAGGGAAGGGCGCCAGCTGCTCGGGCTCTCAGGCAGCCTGGGAATAAAGGAGCCACTGTATTTCTTCAGTCACCATGCAATCACGGCAACAGCAAACACCCACTCTTTCCACTTTGACCCGCAGGGTCTGTCTAGGCAATTAATCGGCGCTTCCCGTGGTTTTGCTATAGGGCGCCAGTTGCCTTGCTAATTAAATCTTCTCACAGGATTTTGACAGACCACGCCCCCCGTGGTGCCGGTGCTAGGGTCTCAGTGAGGCAAGGTGCATAGGTCTACACTAGTGGAAAGCTCAGACTCCAGTGACGCCGCCAGTACAAGCGAACGCGAGTTCTCCAGGTCTCAGTTTCCCCACCTCTAAAATGGGCTACCCTCCCGTCGGCTGAATGCCTTCCTCTCGTACGCGAGAACAGTAGGAAGTGAAATCAGTGCTTAACCGCGCCTGAGAGTCTTCAGTTAAGCTTCGGTCCCGGCGCTGGGCATGCTCAGTAGCGGGGGGTGTGGGGCCCCCCGCTCCGCGGCGAGTAGGAAGCTAGCTCTCCGTTGCTCGCCCGCGCGGCCCACAGCGGGCACTTTGATGAATCACGTGTGGCGAGGCCTTCTTAAAGAGATAGGCACCCACTTTTCCTCAGCTCTAAACACCGCCCTGAGGGCGGCGGCGCGGCGATCGTGGTAATTGCAGCTGCTCAGGGGCAGGGCTGGCCCCAGCGCCCAGAGTAGTGGTGGTGGCGGTGGCGTGGTTGCGTCGCGGGTGCTTGGGAGCCTAAGCCCTGGGGGGAGCCTGAACTCGGCAACTCCTCGGGCAGCCGCACAACCCCTTGGAAGAGGCACTACCCAATTGGCGCGGGGGGGCAGCGCGAGCGCCCCGAGGGGCTTCCGCAGTTGAGGAGAGGTGGTGGTAGGGGGGTGACAGGGCACAGGTGACAGGGCCGGAGAAAGATGGAGCAACCCGGGGCGGCGGCGGCGTCGGGAGCGGGAGGCGGCCCCGAGGAAGCCGGCGGGGGCCGGAGCAACAAGCGGAGCACGGGCAACCGGGCCGCCAACGAAGAGGAAACGAAAAACAAACCCAAATTGGTGAGTGCTCCCGCAGCCCCCGCCGGCCTTGGGGACGGGGGTGAGAACCCCGGGGCTCCTCCTGCCGTTGAGCACGGGGGGGGACCCGGGGGACCCCCCCCCCTCCCAAGTGTGACCGCGACCTCGCTGTGCAACTGGGGGAGCCGCTAAAGGAGTGGCCACGCCGAGGCGCGGAGACGGCGTGGGGGCGGAAGAGCACCCCCCCTTCTCCACTTAATCCGCGCTCTGGTCAGCCCCTCAGGCAGTGCGGGAAGCAGAAGGGCCCCACCCCAACTTGGGGAGACCTGGAGTAGCGGCTAGGCTGTTTGTCCAACTTGTGGCACGAACCCTCTTTGAGTCCTTCCATTTCCCTCTCGCTTCTGTGTCACTTGCTGTTTTGCCTCCTATCACTCAGGGTCCAGGTCAGGGCAACCCCTTCCCCTTCGTCTCCCCTCAGTCCAAATACTTGGGAGCCCACCCACAGCCTGGTAAATCAAGGGAGACACCGCGTAGCGACCCCCGCCTCCGCCCTAGTCTTCCTACTTGACCAGAAATCTAAGAAAGAGGCGCCTACGTGCGTTTCCCCGCCTCGCTTCTCCATGTGCTCTCCAGAATACATTTCTTTGGGGGTGGGGGGCGTGGGAGTTGAAGCTTGAGGAGGTACCACCGACTGTACTGTGAATGTGACAGGCATAGTTACACAGTCCTTCCACTGCGTTGCTTAAAAACGTTCAAAAGCAGTAGGCGCACCCTCCTGACAGCGTGAACCAGTGGCAGCAGCCCATTTCCTGCCCCCGAGAGTGCAGAGAAATGAAATCGATGGGGCCTGGTATTGCATTGGGAAATACTGGAGTTTCCTCAACTCAACAGTTAAAAGGGTTCCTCTTTTTCTCAACTTTCTAATTTGAGTGGTGTGAGGGCCAAGGGTTTTCCTGCGCAAATTCAGCAAGAACCTCTGAGAACTGAGTTGTTAGACATGAGCCCAAGCCACATGTTGCTTTTCTGGATTTCACTTTTAACCAGTGACTTGATTATCATAAGGAAGATGGTGACATAAAGAAGGGTCTTCAGAGACTAGAAAACATGCATTATACAAAACTGAGCAGGGATTTCAGTTTTTTTTTTTTTTGTCTTTGCACTGAAACAGATTTTTTTTTCATAATTCCGTTTTCACATGCTTTTGAAGTTCCTTTGTGTTTGTCAAAAGCTTTTCCTTGCGGTCGCTGGTCGTTTGAATTGGATCTATTGTGTTTCTGTGATATTTGCCTTTCAATTATGGGTTGTCCATATTGGAAACTAGAGATTGAAGTATTTTCTTTTTAAGAAACATGCTGTCTTCCAGATTAATGCAGCCAGTTTAATGTGTGGTCAGTTACACATGAATTTGAGGCAAACTGAGAACTTGACTGACTAGTTGATGTCTCCTTTTGCCATAGGCTTTCGAAATGAAGAAACTGAGTCAGAGGTTGTTTGTGACTTGGCTATTCTGGCAAAGGGTTGAGCAGGTTCCTGTACAAAACTTGAGTTTTGCTGAGTGTTTCAGGGGAGTTTAACACATGTTTAAAATTCTGGTGGCACGGTTTTTAAATTTATCAGTTTGTGGTGAAAGAGTGATTGTATTCCTTTTTTTTTTTCCCTTGGATTTAGTAGGGAACTGATTCAATCAATGATGAAACATTTAGGCCAAAATAAAAGTTACCTAAAAGTTTCCACAAATCATTTAGCACATTTAGCAAGAACATACTACTTTTAAGAAGTATGCTATCCAGAGAAAACACCTCTCTTAGTTGTAGCAGCTTGATTAAATACCTCTCTTCCCTGTGGCCATTTGCCCTGTTTCACCTTTCATGTTTTACTTGCTTTGGACAAGGTGACTAGATAGTTAGGAGATAGTATCACTTGCGTGTCCCAGCTGACTTCTCTGCTTGATATATTAGAACACATTTGAATCTGAGCATTTGTTGATAACATGATTTTGTTTTGTTCAATGTACTATTTGAGCCTTATGTAATTTTATAAACAGATGTATTAGATTTGATAAGGACAACTTTAGGAAGCTATTACAACACATTTTAAGGGAAGCACATTGCTACATCCGCAAGACTTGGCAAAGTTTTTTGTTAGAGAGTTCACCTAGGATTTTTAAAGTTTCACAAGGAAGAAAAAGTTTTAGTCAGACTAAATTTATTCTGTTGAGAATTCTGTTAGCAGTCATGACACTCATTCTTAGTTTGTGTGTGTGAGGAAGTTGTGGTGTGGGCTTATAAAAGACAGTCATAACAATAGATTTTTTTTGTATGCAGGTGATTGTGAAGGAGATAAGTTCTCTTAAAGCTTTATTTGAAAGGCAAAGGTAGGGGAAAGAAAGATCTTTCTGCTGGTTTAGAAGCTCTTAAACTCAATTGTGTGAAAGTGTATTGATGTATGTTTGTTTTAATGGGCTCCATAATTTTGATCAGATTCTTAAAAATATCCATCACCTGTGGAAAAATAAGAACTATTGCTTTGCTGAAGGTAGTAAAGGAAGTAGCAGCTGATTCCATTCTGTCTTACTGGAGACCAGGGGAGGTGTGTGATGAGGGAGAAGGGGAATAGCACTGACCACAAGAGTTGTTGGTAGTGAATGAAATTCTTCTGGGGATAAAAGAAACACACAATCTCTGTGTGTTATTAGCTAAGATTAAAGTTTTCACCACATGGAAAAATGAACTCAATTGTCTTACACCACATTCATAAAGTATAAGGCTGTGATTCTTTTGTTTACATTTAGTCCCTCATGGTTCTGGAAGACTAGAGATGGAAGGCACATTACCTATAAAAAGGAATTCTTTTCATTTATATCCTCACCTTTTAATGAATATTAAAAGGTGAAAATTGTTTCAGAGTAGCATGTCAGGACTGTTAAGACTTCTGTTTAAATCAAATCAAAATTTAATGAAATTCATTTCCATTTGCTTCATCTATGCATCTTCATAATGACCCTTTTATTTTTAATTGTTTTTAAGGAAGGCAGTCCTGTCTTGGACTCAGTACATTTTGAATAATGATTGGTAGTAGAGTTTGGATTTTATATAACTATCTAGGCCCAGATTGTGGCATGGCATCAAACAGCACAGATCTTAGATTAATTAGTAATTTCATGCTAACCAAGGAATGTATTTTGTAAGATTGAGTACGAGAGAGAGCCGTGTTTTGAAGGAGCTACCTACTGAATTCCACATATTTGCAGCAGTGACCTAACCTTTAAGAGAGAACAGTGTTAAGGTAGAACTAACACACACACACACACACACACAGATGACTGATAGCGTTTGGTGGTTTTACTTTCAGAATTTGTGTTTGTGTATAATTTCTGAAGTCTTTGGATTTTTACGCAGGAGTCAAATTAACTTGTTACAAGTTAATTCTCTGGTTATGTAACTTCATGTTTGGTTATTTGTCTACAGCAGAATAAATGTCTCAATTTTAATAATGATATTAGCACAATTACTGCATTTATACATCATGCATTTACTGAGCACCTACTATGTGCAGCCATTATTCTAAAAGTCGGGGATATAAAGATGCCCATAATCTGGTGGAAACATTCAGGGAAGATAATTAGTGATTAGAAAAGAGTGAGATAAGTTACTGCGGGCATACTAAAAGGCGGGATCTGTTAAATCACAGGGAACAATGCCTGAGCATGGCAAGGAAGGGCTTAATCATAGTTGTTGACATTTGAAGTGAAGTTTGAAGAATAAGGCTTTAATTGGAGAAAGAGAGGAAAGGGCATTTGAGGTTGGGAGAAGGATGTCTACAAAGGTAGGTAGATAAGGAAACTTGCCTAATTAGGAGGTTCAGGTGCACATGTTTGGGGCTGAAGCAAAAGGTATGAGAGTTATTTAAAAAGTTCATGTAAAATAGGTATGGAAAAAAAAAACTATGCATGGATTTCAAGATGCTTTGCTCCATAATAGATGTTTTAATTTCATTTTTTCATGAATTTCTGAACTCCCTGTGATGTAACTGCAAGAAGATATGGGATCTATATCATAGTGATTCTTTTCTGTGTGATGTTAGTGTTTTGCCTTATTTCTGGAAGTCAGAATAACCCATTTCAGAGAGGAAAATGGTAATGCTACCTGGCTACATTTGTATTTTAGAAAGACACGGAGACTTAATGGAAGCTGTCTCAGAGAAAGGAGCCAGGCAGGAGGCAGGAAGGCCACTTGGGAGGAGCAGAGGAGCGTAGTAAGTGCTTGAGGTTTATGTGTAGAGACTTGGATTCCAATTCAGCTCCTCCAGTCATCCCTTTACCAGGTTCCCAATGTATGAGTAGTCATCCTAGACGCCTTAGCTTCCTCCTGTCATCTCTGTTGTCTTTCCTTCCTGCCATGCACCCTGGCCATTCCTACTAAAGTTCCACCTAGCCTGCAGTTTATAAATCTCACGCCTTTCTGACAGTTCATACCTCAGTATGCTGCTCCTTCCACTGAAACGTCACTCATCAGCTCAGCTTACTCTTCCTTCTGAAATCATAACTATTTTGAGTTTAAACATCATATACTGATTTTGTCTCTACCAAGATTTTAAAGTGCTTCTGGGCAGGAGTCCCAATTTGTGCTTATCTTTGAAAACCTGGCAGGCTAGTGCTTCGGTCCACAACTCAGTAGATGGTTATTAGCTGGGATTTTCCCCTACCCCTGCATAGGACCAGGCGTTCTGAGGTATTTACTGTTGAAAAGAGGCTTTTAGAAAGTATTTACTATATGTCATATATTTTCTTGGTGCGTATACACACACAGCACTGAATTAACATATCTATAGATTCCTCTGTGTTTTTTTTTCTGATTTTGAAATTCAGAAAACTCCTTCAGGGCCATGAGAAATCCCTCGTTGCGTTTGTTTGTTTGAATTCTTGTTATGTCAGGGCCTGAACTTCCATGCATAGAAGCAATACTGTTGCAGGATTTTTGACTCTGAGTATGGCAGCAACCTCAAATTCTTGTCTCGCAGGAAAGAAGAATTTTCATGCGGAC